GCAGAGGTTTTAGAGGTTGCAGAGGTTTTAGAGGTTGCAGAGGTTTTAGAGGTTGCAGAGGTTTTAGATCTTTTAGAGGTTTTACAGGTTGCAGAGGTTTTAGATCTTTTACAGGTTTCAGAGGTTTTAGAGGTTGCAGAGGTTTTACAGGTTTCAGAGGTTTTAGATCTTTTACAGGTTTCTGAGGTTTTAGAGGTTGCAGTGGTTGCAGAGGTTTTAGAGGTTTTACAGGTTTCAGAGGTTTTAGAGGTTGCAGAGGTTTTAGAGGTTTCAGAGGTTTTACAGGTTTCAGAGGTTTTACAGGTTTCAGAGGTTTTAGAGGTTTCAGAGGTTTTAGAGGTTTTAGATCTTTTACAGGTTTCTGAGGTTTTAGATATTTCAGAGGTTGCAGAGACCATTTTAAATCCAGCAGGACTGATGAGCTAAAGGCTAGTCAGGATGCTGCCTGGACTAAGTTACTGAAAACAGCTCTGACCTCCAGTGTTTGAAGATCATTAACTTTATTTCAGTCTGCTGTTGAGGACACATTTTACAGATATGTAGATACAAGCAGCAGCAGCTAGCTGTAGCACTACTTGCAGGAATACTTTCATATTTCTGCTGAAAGCTGTGGATCTGATTGTTGTTTTATAGTGTGGAGCTTCACTCTGCTGCCCTGAGGCTCGTCTCTCAGCTGCTGGTGGAACAGGTGACCTCTGACCTCCAGGTAAACTCAGTCCCCTCCTCAGATTTAAAGATGTTTTGTGTATTTTRTTGGTTTAAGTGTGAAACCAGAAACAAACACAGAGAAGTGATGTGATAACCTCAGAGCAACACCTCACTGCTCCTTTAAAACAGTCAGGGCTGGTGACAGTGTCAGGAAAACTCCTTCCTGTTTTCATGTCAGCAGCTTCTTTAATTCGTGATAAAAGCTTCTGTCAGTAAAACACCTGTCTCCATGTGCTGAAGGCTGCCAGCAGAYTGGACTGTTTACCTGAGTGGGTGGAGCTTCTGTGCTCCTGCTGTTCTGAAGAACAACCTGCACAGGTGAAGCTGACGGCTGCTGAGGTTCTAGTTTCCTGTACCTCCTCCCTGCTGACGAGTCCTCACCTGCCTCTAGGTGAGTGCAGGTCCAGGTTCAGGTTCTGGTTCAGGTTCAGGTTCAGGTCAGCCTGAGATGCGTTCAGGGTCAAAGGTCACAGAGTGAATCTGAACTTTGTTTCAGGTCTGACAGCTACAGTCTCCCTGTGGAGGAGTCTGTTCACCTTACTGCAGGACGAAGACCAGGAGGTCCGAGACTCTGCGTCTGACTTCACCTGTAATGTTCCAGCTCACCTGCTCCACACAGGTACGTACTGAGGTACAACACCTGACCACAGGTACGTACTGAGGTACAACACCTGACCACAGGTACGTACTGAGGTACAACACCTGACCACAGGTACGTACTGAGGTACAACACCTGACCACAGGTACGTACTGAGGTACAACA